CAAGGAAGCCAGACATCTCAGCCACTGCAGACTTCCCAGCCCAAGCTCTGAGTGGGAGACCACTGCCAGCTTGAAATGAGAAATAACGACCAAGCTAATGAGTCCTAAGCCTGAGAAATTATTTGATATAACCCACCAGGTTTTGTCCCACAGACTTTTAAACAGTTATCATGCCCAATCTGGGCAGCTGAACCCCTGGGAAAACCACCAGAAATTGGGTGAGAACTCCCCCTATGTAGGCCAGGCTCCTGAGGTCTGGATGTGACCCACCAGAGAATGTAATTGTGCGGGACTCTCTTAGTAGTTGGTAGAACTGGGCAACTCAGGAGAGAATTCACCCGATTTGGCACCCAAGTGGTATTCTGCATGTATCATCTCCTCACTGTGGATAGATATAATCTATTTATACTCACAGCTTAGGCTTGTTACATAAATGTGGACTATGGATCACTGCTGGTGAGTTTGGAAGTGCAACCAGCTGGCTTTTGATCAATGATCAGAAATAAAACCTCTTTGTTTTGTCTGCAAGTAGTCTGCTGGACTTGTGATCTTTTATTTCCCCTAGTAAAGAAATGCAGAAATTCTTATTAAAAAAGAAGAAACCCTTACTGAATGAAATTTGGCCAGGGTAATTATTACCTAGCCAGGCCTGCTGAGCAAACAGCAGGTGAGATAAATAAACATAATCTCAACAGCAAAGTTCAGAAAACTTGAATATCTCCCCACTAGAACACAGGATCTTTTAAAACATGACATCACTTTAACTTTCCAGGGCAAAGAGAATGCACCGAATTTGCATTAATACAAGGCTGAGTCAGTTGACCATTTGACCAAAACTAAACCCATTCCTGAAAACCTGGACCTGCTTTGTAGAAAGAGAAAAAGCATGGATCATTTTCAAAAGTTATTGGAGGCTACTTCTTGTGGGAAGCCAGAAGGTACTTCCTTGTCTAAGCTGCTTTGAAAATCAAGCATAAAATCTTAGAAGCTTGTCAGAAAACAGGACACAAGGGTCTCATTTCTGCTTTTTGCACCTGGGTCAAAGGTATGAATGTGCAAAACTTCTCAGCTCCCTCCTAGCCATGGAGACATCCGAATGCTCTGTGTCCCAAGGTGATGAATCAGAGAAAAGCTGGTTGGGAGGGACCTCTGAAAGTCTCTGGTTCAAACTCCTGCTCAAATTAAGAACATCACCAACACCAGATCAGCTCAGCCATGGCTTTGCCCAAATCTCAAAACCCACCCCCTCTGCCTCTCTGAGTCCCCATCCTGAGGCTGCACCACCCACCTCTCAAAGAAGAGATGCTCAACCCAAACCCCCCAAAGTGCAATTTGTGGCCGGTGGCATCATGTTATAACATCTGCCATAAGCAAAAAGAGTTTGGCCCTGTCATCTGTGTAGCTGTCCGTGGAGAAGTTGCAGGCTGTTATCACCTTCCCTCATCCCTTCCCTGGGACTCCTGGGCCCGGCTCCCACTTTCGCTTGGTGTCTGCCAGGACACTGGGAAACCACCCTCCTACACCCGCTGCTTCTTGATGGTTTGGACCTTGCGGTCGGGAACTGGATTTTGAGTCTCAGGGCTCCTGCAGCAAAAATCCTTCTCTGCATCCTCCAGTCTGAACTAAAACTTTGATTTAGGCTCTGAACTCTGAACAGGACTCTACAGCCGGAGCACTGTGTGAGGAGAGGCACTTTGCTGTAGTCCAGGTCAGGGTACCTGGCAGCCTTGTGCAGGCCTGGGAGTGTCTTCATGCACCTCACCTCTATCTCCTCTCTCGCTCTTCTTCTCTATCCCACCAGTGACTCCCCAGACTTTGCGAAGCCTTTGGTTTCACCTCAGTGCTTTCGGAAGCTGGGACTGGGCTCTGTGTTGGGATTTTCTCAGCCCAAATGTGAAAGGCTACAAGCCAGGGCTTTTGCTAATTCAGTCGTGGATTTCTCCAGTGCAGGTCCAGTAGGACACCCCAAACCCCTAGCCTTTTTTTGAAGTGCTTGGTCACAAGCTTGCCAGTCAGAGATCCCGAAGTGGGCTGCCCTCTGTCTCAATCCATATTATTTCTTGGTTTATGCCTGTTTCTGCTGTGCTTGTACCTGAGAACTTGGCCTGCTGCCCAGTTTTCACATCTTTGGTCTGATTATTTTTAACCTTCAGGATCAAAGGTTTCTTCAGC